GCAGACTATTCCCTCTTGATTATTCTAAATCCCCAACTGGCAAAGATGAAAACCATTTTACCTATATACATAACTAGAAACTAGAACTTCAACTTAAGAAAAACTCTACCTAAATAAGAATACTACTTCCAAATAGGCTAGAATTATATCTACATTCCCTTATGGTATGGCTGGCTAAAGATACCTGTGAAAACTGAGCAGCATCGATGATAATCTATAAACACAGAAAAATAAAATTTTAAATCAGCAACCATTATACAGTTATTTTTCAAATCTTACCTGCCCAATTCCTTTAGTTTTTTCTGAAATTTACAGTGGACTTTCCATTGCCATTTTCCTTCCGGAGTACTAAGTTCTTCGAGGAATGTCAAAAAATTTTTAAGGTTTTCTGTTAGAGATAACAAAGTTCATCTTAAATTCAATAAATAATAGTCAATCCACAACTGAATTATGGAAGAAATTTTTGTTGATATTATATAGAAATGTCTACTTTCCTTTTTTTTTATTTTACTTTGTTTTTTTTTTAAAATATATGAAATTTATTGTCAAATTGGTTTCCATAAATGTCTACTTTCCTATGTAGTGTTGCCCCCCACTTTTTTCCCTCTGAGGGAGACAGATCTATACATACTCTTAGATTTTTTTTTTTAATGTTTTTTTTTTTTTTAATTTTTTTTTCAACGTTTATTTATTTTTGGGACAGAGAGAGACAGAGCGTGAACGGGGGAGGGGCAGAGAGAGAGGGAGACACAGAATCGGAAATAGGCTCCAGGCTCTGAGCCATCAGCCCAGAGCCCGACGCGGGGCTCGAACTCACGGGCCGCGAGATCGTGACTTGGCTGAAGTCGGACGCTTAACCGACTGCGCCACCCAGGCGCCCCTACATACTCTTAGATTTAAGAACATCTACATAAAAAAAAAAAGAACAGGATGATAACAATAACAAAGCAGAAGTGATACAAATGCAGTAGGAGCAGGTAGCCTTGCTTTATACCAGATTTAGAGGAAATTATTTGCAAAGACTAAGAGAAAAGAAATTTGAGGCAATAAAACCTCAAGAAAACGATGAAAATGTATTAGTTATCTGTAATTGGCAGAATGGACAATACATTTAAAAAGCATGAGTCACTGAGGTGCCTGGGTCGCTCAGTCAGTTAAATGTCTGACTCTTGGTTTCAGCTTAGGTCATGATCTCAGTTTGTGGGATAGAGGCCTGCGTCGGGCTCTGCACTGACAGTGTGGAGCCTGCTTGGGATATTCATTCTCATTCTCTCTCTCCCTCTGCCTCTCCACTGCTCGTATGCGCTCTAGCTCTCTGAAAATAAATAAACTTTAAAAACAAAACACAAAAGCATGAGTCATTAATCAGAAAAACCTAGAAAAGACAGAAGTTCATACTCGAAAGAATGCACAAATCTTACCAATTGTGATAACTTCTGGATTTAGAATGGATTCATCAGACACGATAAAACCTCCAGATACAAATAATTCATTATATGTATGATTTTTAACATCATCCAGACTATCAACACCAGCAAAACTAACACAAGGGAGCTTCTTCAAAGTCACCAAGCCAGGTACCTATTTAAATCCCAAAACAAAAACAAATAAAGAATGAAATGGTTAAGACTCAAGTGTGAAGTGACCTACAGGAAAAGTCTAACAAAATGCACTACAGCTCATCTATATTAGTGTGTTGCTTCTGGAAAGCCAAGCACAAAAATAATATTCCCAACATGTTCAAATACATAAATCAACATTTATGTACTCGGTGAATACCGTAAACAGAATGCTCTAAAGAAAAGGTACCTACAAACGGACTTGGAAACAATGATATAGGCCAACCTGTCTGGCCCTGTGAGTGCAGGCAGAATTCAGAGGGCAAGAGCCTATGGTACTGGAACAGTCAGGAAAGCCTTCAAAGGGCAGTAGGACTTGAGACAAGCTCAGAAGACTGGGTGGGGTTCCTCCAAATGCAACGGAAAGGGGAAATGATGTGGCAGAGACAGGGTACAAACAGGTTTTACCTGGGACATACGAATGAAAAGGACAATGTAAAGAGAGTGAACAGACCCACTGACATTCAAGGAGTCAGTATTCCTAGTCTTGATGAGTGACAGGGAGGGTATGGGACATGCCGCAACTTAAAATTTTGCAAAGGTACAAACTTGATCACAAACTGATTCACAGAAGGATCATTAGGTCTCAAGCCCTAAATCTACCAACCTTGAAGTTTTCTCTCTTTTCAGACCTTACAAGGATATTTTAAAAACAAAGAGCTTTAGTCTCAAAGGGAGTAAGATTTTAAAATAAGGGAGTTTTTATAGCCAAAATAATAGTGAATTTGACTTAATATTCTACCTTGTGAATGAAGCCTGCAATGTCTTCATTCTGAATAATAATCAATAGTTTATCTAGTTTTGATCTTCTTTCCAAAAACTGTTCTGGATGACATTCTGTATTGCCTAATTTGATAAGATATTCCTGTTAAAGAAAAAAACTAAATCAACATTAAGAAGTTTGTTTTTTTTTTGCAAATATCCATTTAACACTACAAATGCAAGATAAACTGGCAAGTGTAACTACTGTTCGAACACTAGCAATGATGACCTTATACTCTAGGGACCCTAGAGATCATCAAGTCCACTCTTCTTATAGAACAACCTATAGCTCAGAGTTTAAGTGGCCAGTCACAATGTTACAATGCTATGCAGTGAAAACTAAGTAAATGTCAATGGTGGGTAATAGAAAGAACCATAAGAACAATGGTTAGCCAGGTTCTTAATCCAGTTCCATTACTTATTCTGGGGCAACCCAGAGTCCAATCATCAACCACTCCCTCACTCCCATTTTCCACTCCATTTAAGGCAAGCCCTTGGCTATTTGCAGCAAGGTTGCCAGTATACTCCTTCAGTTATAAAGCACTTTTCTTATTGTAGCTCATTTAATTCACAACAGTCCCAAAGTCATTCATACAGAGCTTCAGCGTATACAATGGCATTCACATACTAGTTGGCCATGTCTGTCAAGTTTATACCTTCAGCCGAAATAGACCCTCCCATCTAATTAATACCTCCCTCCATGTTGGTGACATGGTACTACCTTTCCAAGGACACATGGTGGTAGTACAGGCAATTTCCTTTGCTCTTTGCTTGCTGGTGGAATCCTGAAGTCTGAGGTAAACTGCAGGGTCCTAGAGGTCACATTCCTCTTTTCACAGATACAGGAGCAGATTAATTTTCTCAAGATTGGCAAGGCTGGTTAGATAGCCATTAAATCTAAACCCAGCTTGCCTCACAACCAGTCTACTGCTCTGTTAAGAACGGTCTACAAGTGTCACCCCCAAAGAGGATGTTTCTGTGTAGCCCTAAACTAAATAAAGCAGCGTCTTCTGTATTATTAGATAATTAAAGCTTCTGGGCAGATCTCAGAACAGCTTACAGTCAGGTAATGAAAAAGTAAATTGCTGTCTGACAGACCAGCTTATAATTTTTGGTCTTTTTACAGTAAGAAGTTTTAAAAGCAAGTTCATTTTAGGTAAGATGGTTGAACAGTCTGATCTCATCTTTCCAAGAAATCACACTAAGCACTCTTCCTCCCTCTTCATTTCCATGCCCTTCATGTTCTTATGGCTGCACTACATGAAACATGCTGACATCAAAGAGATCCCCAAACTGACAAAGGCTCAGGACATGTCAGCAGCACAGAGTTTCTGGGCCACTGTAGGCTACAAGGCCCTTATTTATAGTCCTTTCTGCTTCCTCTAACAACACAAACAGAAACTCATCATGGTAAGTAAATTCCATAAATGGGAGGAGGCATTTATTTTAAAACCTATGGTATTCCCTTAAGGAATTGAAATCCTGTAATTTAGTGAATGCTAATTGTTAATATGAAAACACTGATATAATTGTTACTGTGTTATAATTTACCTATCGTTACAAATGTTACATACTTATGCATCTGTATGCATCTGCACAGACACACGCAAGTGTTTTAAAAAATCACATACTTGAAACACTAGTCTTACTCTGTAGCTTCAGTAGAAAAAAATACACCTTGCAGTGAGGAATCTTCCATGATTGGGGAATCTTTCAGGATCATCATGTTTTTTGATCAAAAAGGCTATAAGGAATCCTGACATGACCAGGGTACCAAGAAAATGCCAAAAGATCACATATATCATGATTAGGTCATCCCTGGACAGTTTTTTCTATCTGATTGATAAAAAACCCATAAGAGGTAAACACTGATAGCTTCCTCTACTTCTCTGTATCTTTCCCTCCCCTTCATTAAAAACCCAAGTACAAAGCATTTAAAATCTCTGAATCAAGAGTTTAAAGGTATTTGCAGTGTGCATACAAATGGTCTTCAATACCACCCAATAAAACAAGATGTTAATCCTAAGATACTTAGATCACAGGTTCTAAATTTAATTGAACTTACTAGTTTTTTACTTCAGTCTGTATTAAATTACGTAAGAAAGTATATCATCATTTAAAAACAAAAAAAAATCCATTTTATAGACATTAGACACAAGACAAGTTTATATAGCATTACTATTACCTTCTCATTTAGTTACCTTTATTTCTTTACAGAGCACACTCTCTTCTTCTTCATGAATATAAAATTTCACAGTATTTTTCTGGACATCTTTCATGATTTTAACCAAACTGTTAAATACTTCAGGTTCTAACTGGCTTATAAAATTTGAAAGAGCTGGTTGGGCAGAAATGTTTACATCACTGGGCGATTTTGTTGTTTCTTTTTCTACTGGTTCCCGTACAGTATCACCAGGTACAGTATGGTCAGAAGTCACCATTAGCTCTGTGGCATGGTGTGGCTGGTTCACTTCTACTTCGGTTAAACCCAAAGATGAAGAGGAATGCTGCTCACTGGAGTTGTTGTCTTTCAAAGGATCACTACAAAGTGGCTCAAGGAGCTGTTTATTGTTGAAGTCACTTGAGGAAATTGGGATGACGGGCTTTCCCAGAGGATTCAGTGCTATCTTAGTACCAGAATCATTAGGACTGACTGGTGGCAAATTCCCACCCTTGGCTGATGCTTTGATAATAATAGTATTTAGTTTCTCATGCAAGCCATCTACAAACTCCTGTACACCAGCTTTGGAAGTCTTAGAATATATGAACTCAGAAAGCCGTTTCATCTTCTCTTGTGTTGAAAAAATAGGTGTGGAAATTCTACTGACATATGAAACATTCTTTTGCTTCAAAATCTCTTCTATCTTCCTAGAAAAGAGACTGTACTCTCCTAACACTGTCCTCTCTGTGGTTTCACTCATTGTTGGTGGCTCTGCTGCTGGCACACACTGCTCCTCCACTGTCACCACCTGACCTGTCAACACGTCATCCTCAGTGGTGCCCTTTAGTGTGTCTGTAAATGGAGAGGATGGAAACTGGTAATCAGAACTTCTCTGTCTACTTATTACCCGGGGGTCGTTAGGAAAGGCCTCCTGTGGTGGCAGACACACCAGTTGTTCTTCTGGTGATTTCATACCTATATAGGAAGAGTTCATTATTGTAACAGCAATCCAAAAAAATAACACCTGAAAACACAAACTCATAAATAGGAATGTCAGATCAAAGCATATACTTAGAATTAATTACGTACTGGAAGGTAGAATAAGAATCTCAAATAATGATGTGAACCCTATTTTCTAAGTGCCCTACCTATGGCTGGTCTTTGGATTTAGGTAGCTAGAGTAACAAGTTTGGATGTTATTTTCCTTGATTCCTTTTGAAGTGTTTGAACAAATGCCAATTTGGAACTGGCAACAATACAAATTAAGTCATTTGCTTATTTCTGCTTCTCAGATCAGGAAAAGAAAGGCTCAAGAATATGGAAGAGGACATATTTCATATCTGCATTAACAGTTACACTCTTGAGATGAAGAGGTCATTCAGCTAACTACTGATTTTAATGGAACCATAACTCTGACTTTTGACAACCAGCACAATCCACAGATTATACTTTTTTCCCCAGAAATTCTAAATTCAAAACACAATATGGTTTTAAAACTACAGTTCAAAACAGACACCCTAAGTCCTTTTTTAAAAGGGGAAAATAGGGGCGCCTGGGTGGCACAGTCGGTTAAGCATCCGACTTCAGCCAGGTCACGATCTCCCGGTCCGTGAGTTCGAGCCCCGCGTCAGGCTCTGGGCTGATGGCTCGGAGCCTGGAGCCTGTTTCCGATTCTGTGTCTCCCTCTCTCTCTGCCCCTCCCCCGTTCATGCTCTGTCTCTCTCTGTCCCAAAAATAAATAAAAAAAAGTTGAAAAAAAAAATTAAAAAAAAAAAATAAAAATAAAAAAAAATAAAATAAAAGGGGAAAATATGTTTAACAGCAATTTATAGTAATAACATTTTTAGGAAAAGAAAAAATCTTTGCCTAGATGATATTATACAATTTTATTTTTAATTTTCTTAGATCTTAGCAAATATTCCCCAACAAATTGCTGTTGTAGTCTACAAAATGGTACCTCCATACGAAGAAGTGCAGGCACAAGTGTAGTCTTCAAAACCACGGTACTTTAAAGATACAGTGAATTCCCTATTCAAGTTTGCATCTAGGTGTGGCTGCATGCCCTCTCCACACACATTCAGTTTGGGTTTCCTCATATTCACACTTTTCTAAGGGCTTTAACAGCATCAACAGCTGTCAGCTTGTGACATTTTTCCACCAATCTTGGTATTTACCATGAGCCACTCCACCCATTAACTACTGCACAGACACCTGTCAGCAAGACCACAACAGGTCTATAGGTAGAAGGGGAACAAAATAACCAATGCACCAAGATAAGAAAACTATATGAAACTGGAAACCAGAAAATTCAAGTTCCATAAATAACTCAGGAATACAAAACATCCTTCTTAAATTTGCAACATGGGGTTTAGTACACACACAAAATACATTTTAAATTCTATCTTACATAACAAATGGGTTGCAGAAGACTACCTATAATTTTTAAATTTCTGATTATGTATTATTTCAAGTGAAATAACCTGCTTCCCAAAATGTACAGCTGTAGTTCAAACCAATAAGCTTATACTTGAAGGGCTATGGATAAAAGGAATTTTTTTCTAAAGTGGAACAGAACTTTAGGGGCGCCTGGGTAGCTCAGTTGGTTAAGTGTCTGACTTTGGAGCAGGTCACGATCTCGCAGTTCGTGGGTTCAAGCTTCACGTGCTTGTGCTGTGAAGCACAAGCTTCAAGCTGTTCAGCTTCTGTGCTGACAGCTCAGAGCCTGGAGCCTGCTTCTGATTCTGTGTCTCCCTCCCTCTCTCTCTGCCCCTCCCCTGCTTATGCATGCTCTCTCTCAAAAATAAATAAATAAACCTTAAAACAACAACAATAACAACAACAACTCTAGGGTCCCCTTAGTGGCTCGGTCAGTTTAAGCGTCCAACCTTGGCTCAGGTCATGATCTTGTGGTTCATGAGTTCAAGCCCCACATCAGGCTCTCTGCTGTCAGCACGGAGCTTGCTTCAGATACTCTGTCTCCCTCCCTCTCTGCCCCTCCTCTGTGCACATGTGCTCACACCCCCCTCAAAAATAAATATTAAGAAAAAAAACCCTCTAAACCAACCCCGCTTAAAAATGCAAATTATCATCACCTAATTCTATTTTGCACAAATTTCCCCTATATGATTCTAATTACTAACACTGACTTTATTATTTTAAAAAATGTCTTCATCGGTAAATGATTTAAAAGAAAAACACATAGATATCAAGAATAATGCATGTTTTCTACTGACATTCAAGCAATGCAGGATTTTAAGTGTGAGTAGTGAGTTCTCTAAAGGCAGCATCATTCAGGTATTTACACTATTAAACACAAAATATAAAGATGGGTATGCCAAATAAGAGGACTGCAGATGCTGAGGGAGCATGGTGAAGATAAACAAGATGCCCTGCTGCTTCTAATAAGAAAGAATTACTGACAGATAGAAAATAGATGAATTCCAGACATAATGTTGAGTGAAAGAGCCAAAAACAAAACAGGACATGTGTAGGTTCCATTTACCTTAATTAAGAACAGGTAAAAATAATCTATTGTGAAAGAAATCGGATTAGTGATTACTGTTGGGTCAGGGAGAGTACTGACTGGAAGCATACAAAAGAAAACCTGGGGTGCTGGAAATGGTCTACATCTCAATTTGGATAGAGGTAACATAAGTGTATGCACATGTAAAAATCCATCGAGCTGTGCACTAAAGATTTATGCACTTTATGTCATAGATCTGTTATTCCTGTTTTGCTTTTTGGGGTCATCTTTTCCTAGGACAAAGACATCCTTGAAGAAAACTATTCAATCTTTTTCTAATCCCCAAAGAGAGGAAAACCATAAAGATCTACTAAAATTAAAAGTCACTTGGCTTTTCTTCAAAATTAAGAAAAAACAAAAACAAAAAAACAAACCACCACTGAAGATTTCTGAAAGAGTAAGACACAACGAAATGGAAACAAAAAAGTCCGACCACCAAACTCAAAGCAAGAAAACAATGCCTATGCCCACCTGCAGAGATGTTCAATTGACTGATCTCAGACAAAAGAATAGGTCTTCTAGGAACCAATGGCAACTAGCTAATCAGCAACATCTGTAATTGTTTCTGGAATCCCAAAGTTTCCTAATCTCTTAATTACACTGTCTTATTTAAATAATTAGAAGAAGAACTGGGTCAAAAAATCCAAGATTAGGAATAATGTACCTAAAAGATAAATGGCCTTAATCCTAGTAGTTTTTAAACTTAAAGAAACTTGAAGACTGCTTCTCATAGGATATTCTGCAGGAACAGATTAAGAAAAATATTCCAGTCTTCTGAAGTCGTCGTATCAGATAGAATCACAGTATAGGCGAAGAAAACTTAACCTCTAAGAATGATTCAGTTACTTCTTTGAACACATTCTTTGTATAAGAATATCTGATACAAATCAAATGATTTAAATGCAAATATGAGATTGTCCAAATTTTCTGTCATTAACAGAACTTAATATGATGCCCTATTGATGGAGAACCAGAAATGCAAGTAGCAATTCTGAAGAAGGGCACATTGGGAAGAAAAGCAAAGGGAGCCTTCTCACCTGGTGTTTGTTTCTCACCATGTTTCCCCAGCTGGTCTTCTGGGCTTCTTGCATTCCCTCCTGAGGGAAAGCATCCATTAGATTTGTAGACTCTCTTCAGATATTGGTGATACCTATTAAGCACCTTTCAGACAACCCCAAATGCTAACAAATCCAAGTATTCCACCTTTTGCCTAAAATAATCCAGAAGGGTTATTCAGAAATAGCAAGTTGTTTCCCTTTCCGTTCAGGTGATGATAGAATATCAACACCTAGATGCTGTGCCTTCAAATAGCTCTGAACATCAACTATGAAGGTGCCTAAATGAGGAGTGGTTAGGATAATCATCTTGAACTGCCTACTTTCTTATTGTTCCTCCTACTCAAGCCGATGTCTCCAGCTCCTAAGTATCAGCTACCTCTCTACCATCACTCCTGAGGCTCTTGCCCCTTCTGGTAAGGTACTAAGTAGAGAATGTGCTAAAGCCCATGGAAACTCATCAAGTTTTAGAAATTCTTCTCAGAGTCCTTGGAGGCCTTAGTAGCTTCTGGGTCACAAGCCAGTCTACTTACTTTTTAGCAAAAAGTTATTTGTTTTTTCTTTTTAAAGTTTATATAAAGGTCTAGGAATGGAAAAGATGTGCCCTGGGAATATTTCCAAAAATGCTTAGCTTACAAAGATGAGTAAGAACTTGGAATATTAAGAGTATGTATATATGTGTGTACATATGTATGTGTTTGCACAGAGAAATTAGAATACTGCAAAATGATCTTTCAACATTTGCTAACCTACATGGTTCAATAAGCTTTCTAGGGATTTTTGCATTTGATAATTTTAGGCCATTCTCTACAATGACCTAATTTCTCTAGGATAATCTAATATTAAGAAATTTCTTTCAAATAGATGAACCTCAACATGCCCACTTCTCAGATGATAGCTTGTTACAGTGAAGTCTGCTCTAATAATTTGAGAAGATAGTATTTAATCTGCTACCCCAAAGACCATCATTTCATCTCTGTCACTAGCTCACCTTATCAGAAACTCCATTTCTGTCAACAATTTTCATTTGGAAGTCTGCATGCTAACAACTCCATAGGAAGAGTAAGTATGTTTTAAATCCTTCTGATTTTATAGGCTGTTTTGCACATACTTGCTGATACTGACCAAAAACAGCAACACTCAATAATGAACAATTACATTGTTCAAAATAAGATACCAAGATGTCAGAGCCAAGTAAGATGAACCACCTAGTGACCCAAGAATGGAATCTAGAAAAGATGAAACCCATCAGGAAACTGGTCCCTAAGTAAAACCAAGCAAACCTAAGTCTCAGTATACTTGTTCTTACCTGTAATTGGAATCAGTTTCCAATGTATTTCAGTCTCTTCAACATCATTTGACTTAGATTGTCTGCGGAATCCATGTTCAATGGGAACAGTGGGACACAAACTGCAATCTTCAAAATTATTCATGCTAATTAAATTTGGATCCTAAAAATTAGAGTACACATTCAATAGCTTTCTTTTCAATTAATCTTTATGTCAAGAATAAACAACTATTTTTTCTTTCTTTCTCTCTCTCTTTTTTAAAATAGGCTCCACGCCCAACGTGGGGCTTGAACTCGCAACTCAAGATCAAGAGTTGCATGCTCCACCAACTGAGCCAGGCAGTGCGCCCCTAAACAACTATTTTTTAATAGCAAATCCATAAGCTTCAATCTAAACATTACAAATGAGTAAGATCAACATGACAAAGTTGTTAACTCTCTAGTCTTAAATTTAAACATAATTTTTTCCCTCAAAACATAATTTGATGTTGATTTAGAGCAGAGGTTGGTAAGCTTTTTTGGTAAAGCACCAAATATTTTAGGCCTTGTGGGCCAGATACTCAGCTCTGCCACTGTAGTGCAAAAGCAGCCAGAGGCAATACCTAAGCACATGAGCATGGCTGTATTCCACAAAAAAATTTAGTTACAAAAATAGGCAATGGGCTGATGCTGCCATTGACCTGATTTAGAGTATTAAATATGTCAAGAAATGTTAAGAATTTAAGTTACATAAGTTACATACTTCCCCAAGTGGTCTCCTGCCATCAACCTCCTCTTAAAAAAAAAAAATATCCTAAAACTGCATGGAGAAAGCCTGGGGACATGCATACAACTTTTATTCAAAGACAGGGAAGAAATACAGGAGGAAAGAGGAAATTAGAAATAAGCCAGTAGGAACATGGTGCTATCCTATTATTATTATTCCCCAGAGATACAACCCCTTCTTGGAGGAGATAAGGTTACTTCTCAGCTAGAGATCAGTACTCTCTAAGCTTGTATCATAAACAAACTGGATGTCCTGTCAAGCAATGCTGAGTCACTTCAGAGGTAATCCTAAAGGACACTCACTTTCCATTCCTATTTGCATGAAAAATACAAAGTACCTAGTCTTGTTTGTGACACTGATGTACAGGCTGTGGTCACCTCATCTGCCTCACTTTCGGATTCTGGTACTGCCAGTAGAAAACTAATCTTTTGAGGATTCAACTTTATATATAAGCCTATATACATAATTCTCTAAGCAGGAAGGAAAACAACTACATCTACATTTATCCCTCTGTAACAGGGATAACTTAGAAATACTATCCTGGATACTTTCATTGTAAATGTGTAATTTCTTTTTGAAAGGGGAAAAAAAAACATTGAAACACACCTACATCCTCTTTCAGACACACATTCACAAAAGCAACAAAGGTAATCAAAAGACATATGCTTACTTCTTTCAAATGTAGTTTATGGTCAGTGCCTACTTCACTGGTAGAAACAGCAACAGGATACTTTAACAATGATGTATCAATTTCTAACAATGGGCTCTGAGTACCCTTAAAATGCACATTTTCAATTTTTGCACAAGTAGGCTGCTCATATTCTTTCTTATCTGCGGGAGAGTTCAACTCATACTCATGCTTTTGTCTCAACTCTTCATAGGCATCATCAGTGTTCAATCCTAAGGCTTTGTTGACTGTGTCTGTCAAGGATGCATCAGAATGACGTGCATTTGCTAGTGTTTCTGATAGCCAGTTAAACAGCCGATGGATGTCAGCAACACCGGAGTTAGAGGTATCTTGCTGCTGAGGTCTCAAATCAGCATCATGCCCAAGAGAGCCAATAGGCTGCAGAGACTCTGAAGGGAAAGAGAAAGAAAAACCATCTTTCAAAGTTAAGTTTGGAATGGTAGCATAAAAATTTAAAAAATCAAGTATATTTAAAAATTATCATAAGACATTTGTGGGCAGGAATTCAATCAAACCACTGGCTTAGACTGTATAAGAATATCCATCCCTTTCTTTACAGATATGACAGGTTCTAAAATTTTGCACAAAACTAAAATTTCCCATAAATGAAAGCTTATTTTCATAATTTGAAAACTGTATTAATGGAGAAATGAGCTCAGACATGCTGGTAGTATGAATAATATATATTAATACCTGTACTGTATTCACCTTAAACTCTATTACCAAAACCCCAAAGTCTATCAAGTGACTTGAAAACTATATAAAATATCTGTATACTTGTAATTTTGCAAAATGTTAGGAAGATATGCAGGTTACATTTAAATCTACTAAAAAACAAACCAGGACTATACCTACTAGATTTTGTCTTTAAGATAATGACTGATATTCTTATAATCTAAAACCTTATTTTGAATGACTAGATTACTTAATTTCATAACAAAGCTACAAAATCATCCTGAAGAAATCTACACCAAACCTGCACTAAGAACAAAAAGCAATATGAGAGAAAACATGTTAAGACATGGTTCCAAGCAGATGTAAATCTGCGTAATCTGCACAACCATTATATTTAAAGCCTGCAAAAGGAATAGATGTTCAAAAGTCCCATGCTTTTAATGCTGAAGGAGGGTAAAGCCTGAGTAGATGTCATGATTTCCAATTTAGGCAGACAGAGTATATATAATGTACCATAGTATATATAATGTACCAAAAAAAAAAAAAAGTTAGAAATATTATAGTATACACTGTATGATTCTAAATATATGAAATTATAAAATTATAGAAGTAGGAAAACTATTATATAGAGACAGAAAGCATTTCAGTGGTAGGGAGGGGTGAGATTACAAAGGAATACAAGGCAACATGTGGGAGTGATGGAAATGTTCTCTATATTGGAGTGGTGGTAACATAGCTATCAAAACTCATCTTTAAACTGTACACTTAAATGGGTACATTATACATAAATCATACCTCAAAAAGTTAATGTGAAAGAGGGTAGGGAGGTTAGGAGATTACCTCTTATTAAATGAGTAGATTCACCATCAAATCAAGGTGAGGGTATTTTAAAAGTTAGAATCCAACCTTTAAATCTCTACTTTCGGAAATCAAAAATTAAAAAATCAAAATGACTAAAAAGAAACACAAATGAGGAACACCTAGAAATACAAGTCTGACTGTCGCTTGTTCCAGTTTAACCTATCTCTTCTCCCTTCTCCCCTGCCCTGCTTCTCCTTAAAGTTATTATAATTAGCATGGCTTTCCCACCATTTTATTATTGATAAAGCCTGTCACCCACAACTATTTTTTTTACATTTTTAACAAAATTAGTCAATTAACAGCTAAAACAGTACTGAAATTTAAGTACCTTGACCATTATGTGCTCAGTGCTAGGAAACACAGTCAAGTTTAGGAACAATGTTTTAAAGTCAGTCACAAGTAAGTTATGGATTAAACATGGATTAGTGAACTATGTAACTTTAGGGGAAATTATTTAACTTCTCTGAGATGGTTTCCTCATCTGAAAAATAAGAATAATAATGTCTACCACTCAAGAACTAAATGAGTCCATAAATGTAAAGCACCTGGCACATAGTAAGCACTTAATTTTCAAGATACAGGTCAACAGTATGAGTGCAGATCACTAAATGTCAACAGGTTCAGCACAGCGTAAGCTAAAGGAAATGAAAACCGTCAAGGAAAAGAGCCAGAAAGCTAAGGAGGGATCAAGCAAAGATATGAGGCTTGAGATAAATCAAAGATGCTTCATACATGAAGAAAGAAAGAGAAGTAAACTGCTGACCATGACATATTCTGAGGAGAGAGATGAACCCTAATCAAAGAACATGTGAAAAAAGAGTGGGAATCATGGTTATTCAGGCTGGACATGCCAGCCTATAAAAAAAGCTTTGAAAGACAAATACAGAAGCTAAGACTGGAAGATGATACTGAAATGAGTGACAGATGCTAGGAAAGCCAGCCAAAGGTAAGAATAAGATGAAAATGTTGGAAAGAAAAAGAACACAGGTCAAGTGAAGAAAGAACACTTGAAAGACTGAAAACAACAGCACTGGCTAAAAAAACTTTATGCAATGATGGAGATGTCCTCTATCTGTGCTATTTCAATATGGTGGTATGGCTGATGAAATATATCAAGTATAAAGCATGAAATGAATTCTTCATTTCAACTTAAACTTAAATAACAACACGTGGCTAGTGGCTACCCTATGTGCAGGAAGAGAAGAATTTAAGGAAAGCAGGTAAGTAAAAAGTAACTGAGGATACAAACACAGATTGCTAAAAGAATAGTACAATAAAGACATTGATTCAAATTAGTTCTGAGACCCACTGAATGCGAACACATACAAGTAAAACAGCTTAGTAAGCAACAGGAATGGAATACTGAGATCTGCCAATAATCAATAAGAACAGCAGCAGCATTGCAAAATTCAAAGGTGTCTGAATGCAAGGAACACATTTCATGCTTGCTTTAGCAAAGATCTTAAAATTCTAGATGAAAAATGTTTTATGTTACTTGCAATACTGAAACACACAGTTTAGGGTCTCCCATTTCTGTCTTTTACTGTCAACTAAAACAAAATAAAGAAAAATTAAAAAAAATGAAAAAAAAAAAAGAGAAGCCAAACATATTACTAGGCTCCTGGAGTGGAAAAAAAATGTGTATGCATCAAAGAAACTTAATTTTAAAGCTCAGAAGGTTCCTTTCATTAAGCAACATGCTAAAAGAACCCAATATTCAATGTACTTTTCCAATTATACAATTAAAGGGATATAAAAGGACAAGAACTCCAATTAATAGAATAAGAGCTACGCATACTTATTTTCCTATCAGCCTAAGCTACACAATTCAGAAACCTGATGTCCTAAGGCAGTAGTTGGCAAATATTTTTTGTAAAGAACCAGACAATAAATATTTTAGGCTTCATGGGCCAAGCAGTCTCTGTCTCAACTCTGCCATTATAGCGTGAAAGCAGCCATATACACATAAATAAGCGTGGTTGTAGCCCATTGAAACTTTCTTTCCAAAAACAGGGGACAGGCTGGATTGGCTCTCAGGCTGTAATTTGCAGACCCCTGTACTAGGGGAAAGGACAGAACTACTTTAGTTTTGGTTGTTATTTTTATACTATATAAAAGCAACCTGATATTTTTACCTTCATATAGATGGCAATTTTCAGATAAATTACTGGTTTTGGCGAGCTTTCTCATATTTTCAGGTAGATCCTCAAGCTTCCTCTTCAAGACAGTTTTGCTTCTCATATCTTCTGTGTCTGAGTCCCCACCCACATTTTTTTTCCTACACTGAATTAAATTAATCAATTCTTTGACTCTATCCTTATCATAATCCAAAGAATGAGAGGACTTGTGCTTTCTAGGTATAATAGTTTCACCCCTTGAGTTATTTCGTTTTCCAAATTTCATTTTTGTACCATTCATTTCTTCTTCTTGGCCTTCATAATCTGAAAGTGGACTGAACTGTTGAAGTTTTCTATTTTCTTCAAAAAGCTCTTTTAATTTACAAATTGGTAACTGATACATTTCAGGCCGAAAAATATAGGCATGCAAACAATTATCAATATGGGATTTATTTTTTGGAGCTGAGTATAAGAATTTTTTATCATCTAATCGTGAATCGTATGGAAACATGATAAACTCTCGTTTACCTGAACCAAAACCTCGCTTAAAAAATTCATTTACATACTTTTCAACAACAGAATGAAAATTTATAGTATTCATATTTTTGAATTCCTTTCGACACTGAATCAAAGCAAACTGTAAAAACTGAGTTATTTTTAATACATCTGTCATGCTCTCATGTCTCTTCTGTGGTGCTGCATTAGTTGAACCTTTTTGTGCTGTAAACAAACAAAAAAGCAAACTATGTTAGCAAGCAAGAAATTAATCAAATACAGATCTATATGTTGTCAGAGAAATGCAATCATTCATACATTAATGATGAACCAAACTAGAAGTATGTACCCTAGTACATATATGTAATACAGAAATAGATGAATAGCGTGCTTCTAAAAACAGGCCAATAAGAAATTAAAACTAAAACAAAATTGCAGAACATATCTGTAAAGGGAAAAACCCACTCATTGAAGATCTTCTTCATTTCCCATTGTCCCTAGGCAATTCAACTGATGGCAAGCAAAATGTAAGGAGAAATAAAGAAGCAGGGCAAGATATGAGGCTCCTAGCAAGAGTCCTGCAACCGATAGCAATGTCACTCCTTCCTGCTATACTGTAACAACTTTAACTACACATAAATGTTCTACCCCCATAAGCAGATATGCAGGCACCAAGTGGCTACTATTGAAGATGTCATTCTTGGGGCGCCTGGATGGCTCAGTCAGTTGAACGTCTGACTTTGGCTCAGGTCATGATCTCACAGTTCATGGTTTTGAGCCCCGCATCAGGCTCTGTGCTGACAGCTTAGAACCTGGAGCCTGCTTCAGATTCTCTGTCTTCCTCTCTCTGCCCCTCCCCTGTTCGCGCTGTCTCTCTCTCTCTCAAAAATAAATAAACATTAAAAAAAAAAAAGAAAAGAAAAAAAGAAAGAAAAGAAAAGAAAAGAAAAGAAAAGAAAATGACATTCCTAATCTAACAGTGAAACCCATTAGTGGGACTTTTACCTTATTATAGCATTGAAGTATGTTCTTAGAAACAGTGAATAGCAAATTTTTTCTAACCTCAGTGTGAAAAATAGAACAAACTGAGGGCTGCTGGAGGGGACGTTGGTGGAGAAATGGGCTAAAGGGGTGATGGGCATTAAGGAGGGCACTTTTTGGGATGAGCACTGTGTGTCATATTTAAGAGATGAATCCCTGGGTTCTACTAATCCTGAAGCCAAGACTATACTGTCTGTTAACTAAGTTCAATTAAAAAAAAAAAAAATCAATGTGAAAAGCTTTTATAATTTTAAATGGCATAAATTTAACCTAGCACACGATTCTTTTATTGTTACTAAAATCTGGATGCAAAATTGAACTAAGATAAAAATTAATATAAAACCCAAAAATCTAAGCCGTAGTATTTTAATAATTACAGCCCATGTTTATTTAGTGAAAATACTGATAACAACCAAATAATTTTTAATAGTTAAAAAAAAAAACCCAAGTCATATATAATGTGTTTTATTTTGCTAAGACCTCTTAATATTCCCAGTATTTCCCAAAATGTAAGAAACAAAATATTTGGAAAATTTCAATAAAATGTAAGTATCTATAAGTAACTAGATTTAGATACTCAAAGAACTTACAAGTAACTATGCCTCTAGGTTCTTGAAATAGAAATAAAGCATGCAGGACTCGAGACTTGGCAGTCTGATGTTCTAAAAAAAAAAAACAAAAAAACCAGAAGCCAAATTGATTAGCAATATGTTTTAACTAAAAATTTTAGAAAGAACTGTAAAAATTAAAGAGATCACCTACCATATGGAGAAACCATTTGACAAGGAGAGAGAAGAAATAGGTATCCTCGGTCTCCCAAAGGTTTAACAAGAACCTGCATTTTTGGAAGAGGGAACAAGTTGCATCTGTTTTATTATTACTCATAAGGCAAAGACATTGCAATTTCTACTAATTATAAAGAAAACAATAAGTTATTGATCATCTTTCTTTAGGAAAAATAATTCTACTAAATTAAAAGCTCTACTCTCTGATTAACAGAATTCCAATCGAATAAAAATTACTTAGTTCTCAGAATGAAAATAAGAAATTACTACTGAAAGAATTCCTCTAATTAACTGTGAAACCAACTTGCTGATTTTTCCTTGAAGTTAAAATGCAAGGACCAAACTAAAGACTTCAAATATCTTCCTCAGCAATTCAAAAGACCTATTATTAGTTGCCAAGGCAGTGTGTTGGATGTTGGGGGTATAAAACAACTACAGCACAAACATTGCCTTTCTGTGAGTACAGGCTAATCTCAAATGAAATGTGTTGCTATAATCTAATGTTTTCACATAAAGAACACATTTCACATCTAAGGCAATTTCCCTTGCCAGAAGTAACTTCAAAGATAAGCAACACAAGAGCCTTGAGAGTAATTTATAATTGGATGGAGAGAGTAACACAAGAAATGTCAATAATTAGTCAAGATAGGAAAGTTCTCGAAAAGATTTATAAAACAACAGAGAAAAACTATAATTTATTTATGGTTAGAAGAGATGCCAAGAGCATACTTAAGTTGGATGTTGAAGGATGGGAATATTGCCAAGAGCCTGAGATTATGGGAAGAACATTTCAATAGAGGCAACATCATGAACAAAGGCAGAATTATAATTGATGAACAGTTTGCAGGCATCAGAGTACTTATGACTGGGAAAAGGGTAATGACAGACTATGACAAACACACAAATCTAGAAGAAAAGATCACTGGCTCATTTGTAAAAAGACAAGGATGCCAAGTTAGCCAGGAATGCCCTCAAAAATATATCCTTTTGAACGGGAGTTCAAGAAACAACAAAAACTCAACAGCACTGTGCAGGAGGGGGAAGAAAACAATGTAATGCAAAGAAACTTCAGGAGCTACTGTAATTGTTCACAATACATTTTAAAGAAAGGGGAAGTAAAGGAAGAACTGAGCATGACAGTTGCACACAAAGGAACTCTGGGCTCTGAAAGGAAATGTGTGCTACCTAAATTTGTATTGTAAATTTGTAACTATTCCAGTAAACAAAGTCTGTGTAAGAACGCAAATTTAAAGGACAAAAAGTAACTGCTATCAATTTACATTTAATAAAACAGTGGTTTAGGGGAGCTTGGGTGGCTCAGTCGATTTAAGTGACCGACTCTTGGTTTCAACTCAGGTCATGATCTCACAGTTTCATAAGTTGGAGCCCTGCCTGACAGCACAGAGCCTGCTTGGGATTTTCTCTCTCCTTCTCTTTCTCTGTCACTCCCCCACTTGCACTGTCTGAGTCCCTCTCAAAATAAATAAATAAACTTAAAAAAAAAAAGTTTTTTACATAAAATAAAAAATAAAAACACCGTTTGAATAGCCAAAAGTAAGGTGGAAAATGTACCTGCAACATTTTTGTTTCAGATTCAACCACTTTTGTCCAAAAATGTTTTATACATCCTATATATTTCTGTTAACATTTTACCCAACTCCAGGTTTGTCAGAACAGGAAGTTGGGAAGCATGAGTAAGATTTTCATGTTTTGTGGTAACTAAGGAGAAAGATTCTTTTTAACGTCTCACCCCACTCCAAGTACCAGGTTTTTAAAAATTCCATTGGCTCTGTGGCACAAAGACCCTCCTTGTCTTTTAAGGGGCCTCAATGTCCCCAGAGTCTCATGGAGCACAGGGACTCTATACCCAGCAACACCACTCAGGCAGACAGAGGCCCTAACAGTAGTATTTTTGCCCTTTAGCTCCAAGAAATACTTTAAATGCTATAGGAAAGCAAACACCTCTTAACTAGGTTCTCCTACTACCTCGATTACACCTTATTGTTTTCTTCCCCTCAGAAAACAATATTAACCCAGTCATTAATTTTTATTACTCAATTCTACTATTTTGACTTTCCATATAAATATTACAGGTAACATGGTACAAAAACAAAAATGTGTTGGGGCGCCTGGATGTCTCAGTCGGTGGAGCATATGACTCTTGAACTCAGGGTTGTGAGTTCGAGCCCTATGTTGGATGTGTAGATTACCTAAAAAGAAAATCTTTAAAAACACACAAACAAACAAACAAACAAACAAAAGTGTGTTAATAATATAAAATATCAAGCTCACAACCTAGGAGGAAATAAGCTACCCTACGTGAGATTTAGCAGAAACAAGAGATTCAAATGCTCAAGGGCTTCAAACTGGAATAACAGATGTAATATATAAAACAGGTATGAGATGCTTAAAGAAATAACTGGTAGAACTGAAAACATATTCACATAAAAACTGATACACAGATGTTCATAGCAGCTTATTCATAACAAAGAATAGAAACAATTGACAAAATGTGGTATTATCCATACAATGAAATACTGTTCAGCCATAAAAAGGAATGAAGTACTGACATGCTACAACATGGATGAACCTTAAAAACATTATGTTGAGTGAGGGGTGCTTGGGTGTCTCAGTTGGTTAAGCATCCCCGACTTCAGCTCGGGTCATGATCTCGTTGCGCATGGGTTTAAGCCCTACGTCGGGCTCTGTGCTGACAGCTCAGAGCCTGGAGCCTGCTTCGGATTCGGTGTCTTCCTCTCTCTCTCCCCCTCCCCTGCTCAACTCTCTCAAAAATAAATAAACATTAAAAAAATTTTTTTTTAATTATGCTGAGTGAAAGAAGCAATGCACTAAAGGCCACATACTGCATGATTCCATTTATATAAAATGTGTGGAATAGATAAATCCATAAGGACAGAAGTAGATTCACAGTAGGATTGGAGGAGGAACAAATACAGAATGTATGGTTACCAGGTATGAGGTTTCTTTTCTTTCTAGGGTGATAAAAATGTTCTGAAATTAGATAGTGATGATGGCTATACAACACTGTGAATCTACTAAACATCACTGAAAAGGTGTACACTTAAAAATGGCTAGGCATGGGGCACCTGGGTGACTCAGTTGGTTGAGCATCTGGTTCTTGATATAGGCTCAAATTGTGATCTTGTGGTTGCGGGATTGAGCCCCATGTTGGGCTCTGTGCTGAGCATGGAGCCTGTTTAAGATTCTCTCTCTCCCTCTCTGCCTCTCTCCTGCTCATACTCTCTCTCAAAATAAATAAACATCAGTCAGTTGAGCATCCAACTCTTGATTTTGGCTCAGGTCATGATCCCAGGGCCGTGGGATCAAGCCCCATGTTGGGCTCCACGCTGAGTATGAAGCCTGCTTAAGATTCTCTCTGTCCCTCTCCCTCACTCGCATTCTCTCTAAAAAATAATAATAAAAATAGAAATGGCTAAAATGAAGCTTATTTCAATATACCTCCTGAATATCAGAATAGAACCTCCATGTCCTCAATAAGTATTTCTAAAAAATATTAACAAGAATCTATTTAAAAAGAAAAAAGACCAGGCAGGTCTTAAAAATAAGCAAATACAACTTCTAAGAAATCAAAAATATTATGTGAAATTGGAAACTCAACGAATGGATTAAGTAACAAACCAGACACAGCTAAAGACAGAATTTGTAAACTAGAGGGTAACTATGATGAAATCACTCAGAATGAAGCAGAGAAACAAGTAGATGTAAAACACAAGAGAAGTTCACAGACATCAAGAACATAATGAAAAGACCTGATATAGGATGCTCTAGGTTCCTAGAAAAACAGTCTACAAAGAATGAAGGAGAAGTATAATCAGAAAGATAATGACTAATTGTATTATAGAAATGCATCTATAAATCCAGATATCAAATTATACCAAGGTGGATAAATAAGAAATCTATACCTAGATATAGAGTTGAAAAACACCAAAGACAAAGATTAAAAAAAGCAACCAGAAAAAAGATGACGACCTACAAAGGAACGATAATTTGACTAAGAACTGACCTCTCAACAAAAATAGAAGCCAGAAGATATTGTAATATAGTCAAAGCACTAAGGGGAAATAGCTGTCAACCCAGAATTGTGTACCCAGAATCTAACAAAGAATACACTTTTTTTGGCAAATCTACAGAGCATCTACAGGGCATGTTCAAAAATTGACCACAAAGTTGGCTTTAGATCAAGTATCAATACATTTCAAATAATCACCACCTGTTTTGATTATAACAATTAAATGGGGAAAAAAAAGACAAAAGTATTCTTATATATTTGGAAATTTAAAAACAATCCTCTACATCACATATCAAAATAGAAAATCATAATGGAAACTAAAAAGTACTTAGAACTGAATGATAATGAAAATCCTACATATTAAAAGTTGTGGAATGCAACTAAAAGAGTACTTGCATTGACCATTTTTCCAACTTAAGAAAGCAGAAATAAAATGAACCTCCCAAAAGTTGAAATTAATAGAACAGCTAAAATTAGGAAAAGAGTAAAACAAAGATATAACAGAAGGTTAAAACCATAATTTGGTTAAGATTAATAAAACACACAAACCCCTGGTGAAAGTGACTAATAATAAGGGAAGGCATAATGAAAATATTATCACATAATAATGCTCACAGCAGCTATTAATAGACTATTTAAATGACTATATTGCAATAAACTCAAAAACAGAAAAAATGGACAAATTCCTAAAAACCAAACAAAACCATAATATATCTAAACTGACATAAGAATAGAAAACCTGAGAAGTTTAACTATTTTTTTTTTATTTTTTTTAACGTTTTTTATTTATTTTTGGGACAGAGAGAGACAGAGCATGAACGAGGGAGGGGCAGAGAGAGAGGGAGACACAGAATCGGAAACAGGCTCCAGGCTCTGAGCCATCAGCCCAGAGCCTGACGTGGGGCTCGAACTCCCGGACCGCGAGATCGTGACCTGGCTGAAGTCGGATGCTTAACCGACTGCGCCACCCAGGCGCCCCAGAAGTTTAACTATTAAATT